ACCTAGATCTAAAGTGAGCCAGGCGCCAGTGGCTCACACCTGTAATCCCAGCCACTCAGGAGGCTGAGATCTGAGCATTGTGGTTCAAAGCCAGCCCAGAAGGAAAGACCAGGACACTCTTTTTTTTCTTTTTTGTCAGTTGTGGGGCTTGAACTCTAGGCTTGGGTGCTGTCCCCGCACTCTTCAGTTCAAAGCCAGCACTCTACCACTTGAGCCACAGCGCCACTTCTGGTTTTCTACTGGTTTATTGGAAATAAGAGTCTCATGGACTTTCCTGCCCGGGCTGGCTTTGAACTGTGATCCTCAGATCTCAGCCTCCTGAGTAGCTAGGATTATAGGCGTGAGCCACCGGCACCTGGCTACCATGACACTCTTATCTCCAGTTAGCCACCAAAAAGCCAGAGAAATGGGACTGGGAATGTAGCTTAGTGGTAGAGTGCTTGCCTAGCATCATGAAGCCCTGGGTTCAATTCCTCAGTACCATATATGAAGAAAAAGCCAGAAGTGGTGCTGTGGCACAAGTGGTAGAGTGCTAGCCTTGAGCAAAAGAGCTCAGGGGCAATGCCCAGACCCTGAGTTCAAACTCCAGTACTGGCAAGCACACATGTGTGCTTGCACACAGACACACACACACACTGTATTGTGTTCATTTTTAAATATCCTATAATGCTGAAAAGGAGCATTAGAGACTTTTGAAGAGTTGAGTGAATGAAAAATTCTCCCTGGCATTTTCCTTGCCCCTCACCACCAGGACCAGTCCGATCCCCAGATGAACATCAAGTGTGTTCCCCAGAGATGGGCATGCTTGATTGAAAAGATCTTGCTTGTTATTCTGGTTGGGACCAACCTGGCAAAGACTCTGCTGAGGACGAAATCACATCCCACCAGCTCTTGAATTCTGTAGTAAGAATTCTGTACTCCTTAGACACATACCACAATACAACAGGGCCATTTTCCTCAAACAAGCAAACAAACCCCATGTACACATCATTTTTCTATCTTTTCTTTTTCTTTTTGTGTGTACTAGTCCTGGACTTGCATTCACGACCTTGCACTGTCCTTGTGCTTTTTCTGTGCTCAAGGCTAGTGCTCTACCACTTGAGCCACAGCTCCACTTCTGGCTTTTGGCTGATTAATTGGAGATAAGAGTCTCAAGGACTTTTCCTGCTTGTGCTGGCTTCTAAATCTGATCCTCAGAGCTCAGCTTCCTGAGTAGCTAGGATTATAGGTGTGAACCACTAGTACCTGGCTATTTTTCTTTTCTTAACACCTTTTCTTTTTTTCTGAAGCCAATTAGTATTCTACTTCTGGAATTTAAGATTATGAAGTTACATACTTTCAGAAAAATGTACATTCATATCTATCTTTCTAGGTTAGCAAAGGAAGATATTATTAGAAAATTCACACTCTATTAAGAAGGGTGGTTTGAGGTATGGGTTAGTGGTTTTATTTCTTAAAATATCTTAGAAAACCCAGGATGATGAAATTTAAAATTTGCATGCAGAGTCACCAACATTATATAGGCACTGAGCGACATGAACAAATAGTATTCTGATAGGAAGTGTATTTGTATTTTCTTAAAATTTCTATAAAAAATGCACTTGTGCTGGGCGCCAGTGGCTCATGCCTGTAATCCTAGCTACTTAGGAGGCTAAGATCTGAGGATCACAGTCCAAAGCCAGCCCAGGCAGGAAAGTCCATGAGACTCTTATCTTCAATTAACCACCAGAAAACCAGAAGTGGTGCTGTGACTAAAGCAGTAGAGAGCTCACCTTTATCTGAAGAGCTCAGGGGCAGCACCCAGGCCCAGAGTTCAAGCTCCACGACCAACAACAACAAAAAAATGCCCTTGCATGAGCTTTCTAGTTACTATTAGTAACTGAGACAGCAAAGCCAAGAATCCATCTTTGAGGTAAAACATCTAAGATCTTAAATTATCCCATATTCTACTGTCTTAGGTAGATTAACCTGAATTCACAGAAGTCTTGAGTAGTTTTTTAAAAATATTATCTTACAGGTATCTTATCATATTATGATGAGAGATATGATAGAAAACTAGATATGTGAAAAGAAAACTTCTCTGGTATGGTAGCACATGCCTATAATCCCAGCATTTGGGATTCTGAGGCAGGAGTATTAAGAGTTCCAGACCAGCCTGGCTTATATACTGGGATCCTGGCTCAAATTGGTATCCTAGTAAGAGCCAAGCATCATATATTATGTCCTTGAATTCTCAGAATCATGCGTGAGCCAGGCACGGTATACATACCGTCATTTTAGGCAGCATGTATTAACCTTCCCGGGATTTCAAGGGCAATCCACGGCCCCTTACCTGTCAGACAGCTGGGTACCATGAGGGATACACATAATCCCCACATCAGCAAGCTTGGCTCCATCTTCTGGCCCTTGGGATCAGCCTGGGGCAGATCTCTACTGGGAGGTGAGATTTCTACTGGGAGGCTGTCAGCCTCTTCCTTCCATTGTGCTAAGAAGATTCCAGAAGAAAGGACCGATCCACTCACCCAGTCCTCCTTGTTGGCTGACCCAGCATCACAGACTCAGGAGCTGCTGTCTTTAAGTCTTAGAGCAGTGTGTTCAGCCAGGAAATTGTGCCCATCTCTTCTCTGATCTCAAAGATAGGAAGTGTTTTCTGATGACAATAGAGTTTGCGGTAATTTTCAAAGTAGGGTTTTTTTTTTTTCAAGTTCAATTGCTGGGAGGTGTGGGCTGGGGTGGGGGTAAAGCATTAAGCTTCATGCATGAATCCTATCTTCAGCTTCACCCATAAAAAGAAGGGGAGATTTCCTTGCTGTGAAGGGAGGGATGAGCAAGCCCTGGGGTCCTGTCCTAGCGGGGTAGCCTCCAGAGGACCTGACAGGGGGCCACGGGGTGTAGAAGCAAGGTCACACAGGTGTGGAAGGGCAGTATTGGCCATGACAACTTTCCAAACTGGTCTGATCCTAGGTGATCTCCCCCACTCCTGCAAAACACTCAAAACTCAGGGCCTTGCCCTCTTCCTCAGCTTATATTCGCTCAAGGCTGGTGCTTTACCACTTGGCCCACACCTCTACTTCCTACTTTTTGCTGGTTAATTGGAGATAAGAGTTGTATGAACTTTCCTGGCTTTGAGCCTCAGGCCCCAGATCTTAGACTCTTGAGTAGCTAGGAATTACAGACATGAGGCACTAGTGCCTGGCTATTTTCTTTAAATTTAAAAAAAAAAAAACTTAGTTGTTCAAGTTGTAAGATTTCCATTGTGCATACAAAAACGTATCCTCTTCAATCTCACCTTCTTAAAACAAGGTCAACTGGTTTCCTTGTTCTATTTTCTTTTTTTTTTTTGAGTCCGGTCATGGGGCCTGAACTCTGGGCCTGGGCGCTGTCCCTCATCTCTTCAGCTCAAGGCTAGCGCTCTACCACTTGAGCCACAGCGCCACTTCCAGCTTTTTTGTTTTTGCTTATGTGGTGCTAAGGAATGGAACCCAGGGCCTCAGGCATGCAAGGCAAGCGCTCTACCTACACAGCGCCACTTCCGGCTTTTTTCTTTTTGCTTATGTGGTGCTGAGGAATCGAACCCAGGGCCTCATGCATGCAAGGCAAGCGCTCTACCACTGAGCCACCTTCCCAGCCCTCCTTGTTCTATTTTCATTCAAGCATACCTGGATCCTTCCTTCCTTCCTTCCTTCCTTCCCTCCTTCCTTCCACTTTCCCTTCCTCCTTCCCTCTCTCATATTTTTTTCTCGCTCACACACACACAGTACTAGGGTTTAAACTCTTGGCCTCATGCTTGCTAGGCAAGTGCTATAGCACCTGCACCACACCTCCAGACCTGTTTTTTTTTTTGCTGGTTTTATTTTGGAGATTGAGTCTTGTGAACTTTTCTGCCCAAGTTGACCTTGAATAGAGATGCTCCAAACCTTAGCCTCCTGATCCCAGGCCTGAGCCACCCCATTCCCTAATTGGATCTCTTTGAAAAGCACAGCTGGATTTGGAACTGGGCCTCCAATCACTCAGATCACACAGGAGCAAGCAGGCACTGACTGATACTGAGAATTCATGAATAATTCCCTAAGCATTACAAGCAATACTAGCCACAATCATTTCCCCAGGGTGTCCTAGGTTCCTGAAAGTATATTGTCATTTTACAAGATATTTCGCCTCCAGGTTTGCATTTCTCTTAAAAAAAATCTTACTAAAATTGGATTTTAGTTCTAAACTTTCAGACTTAAAAAAAATAGAATTCAATCTTGCTTGTTTATCAGAACTTCCATCTGGCTTTCATGAAACTGGTCACACTGTTATGGTAAAGAACTGTCTTTAAACTATTAGAAAGCGATCAAAGACATCAAGAAGAGGAAGATGTTTGGGGGAGCAAAGGAATCCATGATTCCAAGATGCATTCCATCTGCCGTGAATCGTCGCTTAAAAAGACAACTTCTTCTCTCTAAGAAAGAGACCAGGGCATTCTGAAAATGAACTAAATAGTGTCTAGGCTAAGTGTAAGAGTTTAGAAAGAGAGAGAGGAGGTAATGGGGTCCTTGTAAAAACATGACAAGATTCTCTTTGAAGATGTCAAACCAAGAATAATGTCATCTCTAGAAAATGTAGATAATTGTTTTCCCAGCAATTTCCATTATCCTTAGTCTGTCCAGCTATGAAGGTGAAGATTTTAGCTGTAGTTATTATCTTTGAAAAAAAAAACAAAAGAAGATACAAATACCTTTTCTATGCAAGCTGAAAGTATTTTCCAATGAGATATTTCATCACTCTTAAATCTTTTGGGTATTTTCTACAAACAAGGATATTTTCCAACATCAAAAAGCTAACAACCCCACAAATCAGGAAATGGATACTGATACATTACTATCATTCAGTCTTCATTCTCTACTTTCTCTAAATTCTCTACATTCTCTACGTTCTCTACTTTCTCAATAATGCTCTTTGTAGCCAAAAAAGATCCAGTTCATAATCACTTGTATGTAGTTTTGTTGTTGGTGGTGGTGGTCATAGATCTTGAACTCATAGTCTGGGCACTGTCCTGAGCTTTCATGCTCAAGGCCGGTGTCCTACTACTTGAGCTACAACACTACTTCCTACCAAGTGTCTTTAACAGTCCCTTTGTCTATTCTTGGCTCTCAGGACCTTGACATTTTTTTGAGAATTATAGGAAAGAGTACTTATTACAGGAAAGCATACCCAAGGCCCTGACTCAATTTCAAGGCTATTTATCAGAAGAAAAGGAAAAGTTACAACCGTTTTACTTTGTTAGTAATAAAATAATAAAGTATTAGCAAGCCAGGTTAAATATGTTCTATTTTACAGCTATGTGTGTGTATGAATGCTAGTACCAGGGCTTGAACTCTGGCTCTTCTCCCTTGAGCAACACCTCCATTCCAGCTTTTCTGCTAGTTAATTGGAGATAAGAGTTTCTCATTATCACTTGGGACACACCTTCACTTCCTTAGTTTGTATTTTTATGATCAAAAAATGGCATAAAACCTATTAAAATGAATGTAGTGATTTGGAGGGGGGGGCTTTTCAATTAAATAAGTTTGGAGGAGCCGGGTGCCGGTGACTCACACCTGTAATCCTAGCTACTCAGGAGGCTGAGATCTGAGGATCGCGGTTCAAAGCCAGCCCAGGCAGGAAAGTCCATGAGACTCTTATCTCCAATAAACCACTAGAAAACTGGAAGTGGCACTGTGGCTCAAGCAGTAGAGCACTCACCTTGAGCTGAAGAGTGCAAGGACAGTGCCCAAGCCCAGAGTTAAAGCCCCACGACCAACAAAAAAAAATTTTTTTGGAGGAAAATATTGCTGAGTTAGAGCTTCATTTTACATCCTGATGTGCACAGGTGTGTTAGGGGTAAGAGAATAACACAGAAAGTTCATACTGCTCTAAGAGTTAATCTGCTGATTTACTTTTTGAAAACACCCCTTCTTCTTCTTCTTCATTCTTCTTCTTCTTCTTGACTTCTTCTTCTTCTTCTGCTTCTCCTGGTGCTTCTGCTTCTGCTTATTCTTCTTCTTCTTCTTCTTCTTCTTCTTCTTCTTCTTCTTCTTCTTCTTCTTTTTCTTCTTCTTCTTCTTCTTCTTCTTCTTCTTTGTTGGTCGTGGGTCTTGAACTCTGGGCCTGGGTCCCTCAGCTCTTCAGTTCAAGGATAGTGCTGTACCACTTGAGCCACAGTACCACTTCTGCTTTTCTGGTGGTTAATTGGAGATAAAAGTCTCACTGACTTTCTTGCCCAGGATAACTTTGAACCGTGATCCTCAGATCTCAGCCTCCTGAGTAGCTAGGATTATAGGAGTGAGCTACCAGTCCCCAGACATTTCTTCATTCTTAAGATGAAGAAGTGGAGTTGAGGAAGAGAGGGATTAAGATAGAGTAAAATAAGGTGAGTAACTTTGGAGGAATAATAAGAGCTTAAAAGGAAAAAAACTAAAATCATTTGAAGAAAACAGTTGACAGTTTGCTTTGCAATATTAGCCCTTTCCCCCAAACATTCCTAAAAACTTGGCTGAAATTCCCACTTTTTGTTCATGCATTTTGGGAGCTGAATTCCCTGAAGGATATATGAAAACACCAAATTCAGCTTTCTTTGTAAACTAGGGAAATGTTCAGAGCCCAAAACTCTCACAATCACTCCCTTTTCTCTCCTGCTCTCCTCCTCTTGGCCATTTCATTGTTACCAACATCTTTACCGGGGAAGTTCCAGGAAAGGAGAAGCAGAGACCCAGGAGATTTCACTGCTCTTGAGAAATCCATCAGCAAATGTTGACTGAGCGTTGACAGTGGCGCAAAGCACTATGCTAAGGGTCTAGCGTGAACACTGAGAAATGAAGACATAGTCTCTGCTTTGAGCATGCTCATAATCTACTCAAAGAGAGAAAGATGTGAGCCCTTCAAAGGGAAAGTGGCTGCTCACAGATCCTCTCTGATCAGACCTGCCCTGCTTTACCCATCTGGCACCACATGAAAGCGGCCCAACCCTGTCATCTCCATCACCTTTCTCTAAAAGAGCCATATGCTCAGCTGTGGTCTCACAACCAGAAGAAAAGGTTTGTGTTCCTGGAGACTGGAAGCGTTTGATCAGGGTGATCACGAGAAAGCCTGTGGTTTTAAGTATTTGACATTCTTGTTGGATTTGACCAGAGGTGGCTTTCCCAGCATATGGTGCCCCACGCCTTTCTATCCTTCATCTCTTACCCCGGAGCCTGAAACATCCCTATGGGCACTGGCCATTTCCTTTTTCCATAAGCCATGTGCACTTGGTTGCATCCTGGGTTAGCATTATTCAATGCAATGAATACTAATTGAGGATCCAGGCACTAGGTTCTCTGCCTAAAGATGCAAAAATAAATTACAAAATGATTTCTATTCTCTCAAAGAAGTAACCATCTAACTGCGGGGAGCTAACGGGCAGGAACAGGAAAAAAAAACCCTTATTAACTGCAAATTTGTCTGCCAAATTGATAATCCTATGAGAAGCCCAAAAGAGCAGTGCAAGAGAGCTTGGAGCATGTAGGTCTCTATCGTTACTTGCTGGGTAGCTGATGGATGGAAGGGCAATGTTATTATGATTGATACTTTCCACTGTAGACAGACA